ACATTTAATCAAAATCATACCAACCAAAGACTGATCCGAGGGAGCCCTAGCGAGAATCTTTTCAAAGCTTATGAAATTAAATTTTTTTTGATCAAACGGATGAACTTGCGCATCAACAACCGTCGGACCTAGAAAAAGCATCTCACTCCGATGGGATGTAATCCTGGGATCGCTATTTGAATCAAGAACAACGAAATTTCTAACCGTAAGCCAAACACCCTCACACAGCACAGGAGAGAAACGGTCATAATCAACAGCATAAACGGTTCCACAAATCTTCACACCCTACAACACAATAATGAAACAAACACTGGAGTTCAGAAACAACGAAAATAATAACATATAATACAAGAACAGATCATATAAACAAACCTCATCATCGCACAAAACAAAATTCAATGTTTTATCAGACGGACTAAACGAAGTAGTCCAAACTCTTAACACCTTCACGAAAACTACCGCCTCAACAAAACCAGGTCTCAATTGTGAGACACCAAAAGAGATTGGACCATGCAGGAACTCCTTTCGTACGAACTGCATACAAAAGCGATAGCCAAAATCAATGAGTTGACATGAAACAGCAACGGAAGGTGTCGGAGATAACTCGAGAGTTTCTTACCAACCCAACATCAGGAGAGTTACAACTACCAACAGATAACTCGGGAGGCTCGCTTTCCAAACCCACAGCCAAAAAATCATGATCCATGTCAGCAAAATCGTGTTCGTCAAGCCATACCTCGCGATGTGCATAACGTCTATCAGCCATATCTACATAAATGTGCAACCACTTAAAATATTAAGGAATAATATAACAAACACACGTGCTATATGATATAATCTAAACACATAGTCCACAAGCACACCTCAGACATTTAAAAACACATAGAGCACGTTATACGACCGCAATTTATCACCAAAAACTCGTGGAACTCGACTCAGCAAAAGAACTATAAAAAACAGAAATAGACTATGAAATATATAACGTCAAACATAAACCACATCGCAACGTATTCATGTCAAAACTAAAATTAAAATATCAGTTCCTCTATACGCACGCATCAACGACGGGGTGGAATGTTCAGGAAACACAGAAGAGGAAGGAAACGACACGACAACATAGAGAGAAAGACCCATGATTTGAAAGTATGTTAATGCCGCTTCTTATTGTCAAGCCTATCGTAGTAGAATAGAATATAATAATTAGAGAGAATATATACACCCTATCAATCCAACCTAAGAATCGAGTAATAAATTAGGGTTTACATTTATATGATTTGGACCCGAAAACCTCTAGTTTTAGATAATAATTAAATGACAAGATAATATCAACATATAATATAATCAAATATATAGTTATCTGTTATGTGTATCTTTTTGAATATACAAATAAATGGAAATCAACATGCCATAGATATGGAAAACTATACATAAAAATTGTAATTCCAATATTACAAATATTGAAATTTTCTATATCACAAGAACTATATAATTATGTTAATATATACAAATGAAAACCTTTAGTTTTAGATAATATATAATAATTAAATGACAAGATAATATCAATATATAATATAATCAAATATATAGTCATCTGTTACGTGTATCTTCTTGAATATACAAACAAACAGAAATCAACACACCCTAGACATGGAAAACTATGCATAAAAATCGTAATTGCAATATTACAAATATTAAATTTTCCCATATTACAAGAACTACATAATTATGTTAATATATACAAATATATATTATATAATACATTAAATTTCAATATTACAAATGTAAAACTTTCACATTTTATACATACTATATAACCATATTGGATATTGAATATATTGGATAAGGATTTCGAATTACAGATATATATTATATAATACATAAAATCTCAATATTACAAATATAAAATTTCCATATTTTATATGTACTATATAACTATATTGGATATTAAATATATTGAATAAATATTTCGAATATACCAAATTATGTCAACATATACGAATATATTGATTGCTAATTTATGAATCACTAACAGAAACGTATTGATCGATATATATGAATCACATATTTAAAAATATATTAATCATAAAATTTCCATCACCGCTCTGAAAATCATCACCAACCATACATCGATCGAAATATAAGAACATGATATTTGAAAACATATCAATCATAGATATCAAAATTTTCAAATATACAATACTCTCACAATAAACCGATAAAGCCAGATACCAATATTAACTAAAATACGAAAGCCACAAAACATACCCAATAAAAAATCATACCAAACAGGTATTAAAGTCTCGAATAGATATCGAAATTTTGGATAACTTGTAGATATATATAATAACTGCGTCTTTAAAATAGAAAAGAAAACAAAACACAAAACCATAAAAGAGGATCACGTGTCCGAAAAAACACCAACACAGTTACTAATCACTAAACAAAATAGGCATCACCGAACCATCGTACCAACGACTTGCCTCCCACAATGCCGCAGCATACTCATCAACATCATCGACCAAACCCAAAACATGGCATGCATCTTTAAACGTCGGATAAACAACACCAGCTACTGTCTTTATAGAATCAAAGGATGTCGCACCCTTTACCCTAAGCAGTAAAAGCCGCAAATAATAAATCTCTCCAGAAGTATCAGGACAATATGCCAGACGACCCGGTTTGCTACCACCACGGCATCTAGGCTTCCAACACTTTTTCTTCCGATCCCACACAAACTTCGCAAAGAACTCCGTATAAGTCAATTGCATTGCATCAGGGTTAACCTTATTACACTCCATCCAAGAAGTAAATTTTAATGATCCCGCGGTGATACTCGCACCAGAAAGATGATACGGTAGAATATAAGTTCCTACAACAGTCAGAATAACAATAAACAATTTTCACAAATGGCATAAACCAAAACAAATCCAAGATCACAGATTATAAAAGACAAAAACGTAAAGATATACATGTAAATAACTACAAAACGACCAACTAACCAGTATAACGCATCGTGAATAATATAGAACCCTGCAGAAACATCCAATAAAAAAGAAATAATTAAATATAATGCCAAATTTAACACCAACAAACAAAATATCATACATATCATTGGCATCCAGCAAGGACATGTAATATTACCCAAAAATAATCCAGACGAAGAGGTTACGCGATAAAACGTAACTCACTTAGCGAACAACAACAAAGCGAACAACAATGAATAACCTGCACAAAAGAGATAGACAAATAAAAACTTATCAATTGGGAAAATAATATAGATATACAGACAAAAGAAAAAAATATTTCAAACAAAACAATCTACTCTTATTACTTCGAAAGACAGAAAAGAACCGAAAACACAATAAATACATCAAATTTACCTTGATAACCAGAAGACTAAACAACAACTATCAATAGCCTATCCCGAGAAAACACAAACATGAAAACAGCACGAGTTAGGGTCATTATACGAATAAAATATGAATATAAAAAACTACGAGCTATAATCATATAAGACGCTAGAAAAATGATATATATATATACATATATATATATATACAAACATAAAAGAGCAACATATACAAAAACACAATACATCGAACTTACTTTGGTAACCAAGAAGACCAAACATCAACTATCAACAGCCTATACAAAGTTAACACGAACATGTAAACATCACGAGTTATGACACTATACACGAATAAAACACGGTCACAGAAAATCACGAATTATAATCATATAGCACGTTAGGAAAACGATATATAGATATAGATAAACGTAAAAGAGCAACATATACAAAATACAATAAACACATCAAACTTACACTGATAACCAGAAGACAAAGCAGCGGCGACCAGCAGCCTGTACAAACAAAAGACGAACAGAAAAACAACATGAGTTAGAATCGTTTATACGGACAAAACACAAATCCGAAAACATAACAAACCATAACAATTTAAGACGATAAAAAGCGATATAAATATATATAAATATAAAAGATCAATATATACGAAGACAACAAAGTCAACACTAAGAAAGACAAAAACCTAGAAAATGCGATGAACTGAAGTCTAGATTGTGAAAGAAGCAAAAGTATTTATACATACTCGGTAACCTAGGGCGACCTAAAAATATGCATAAACGAATATATTCGACTACCATATAAGACGGTGATTCGAAGAAAGAAAACCATCCTTATCCAACTAACTCATAAAATTGGAGAAAAATAAAATATCATTATCCAACTAATTCATAAATAAATTCATAAATGAAACCATCTTTACCCAAATAAATTATATATTCGACTACCATGCAAAAATTCGAATATTCGACTATCATCCTTATCCAACTAAATATTAAATTCATAAATAAATTCATAAAAGAAACCATCCTTACCCAAATAAATCATATATTCGACTACCATACAAATCGGCAATTTTTAAAAAAATCATCCTTATCAAACTAACCGATCAATAAAACCATCATTTTTTAGTATCAATAAATCAATAAATCTCTTCGTTATCAAACTAACTATTAAATCAATTTAGTAAACTGCGAATAACACTAAACCGAGAATTAAATCACAGTTTTCATTAAAGATATAATTAGAAAAATCGATGGCTAAAATATAGTGAGAGCAAACGTGAGAGCGCCACATCGGAAATCTACTTCTCTAATAATAGTATAGATACGGTACATACATTATTTTTGTTTGAATCTCATATAAGTCATAAGTAATTCCTTTGTTTCGCTTTCCAACGTAATTTCTCTAAAATGGTTAATATTCTAATGATTAATTAGTGACTGTACTGTACCACTTTCTACATTGACCGAAAACAATTCTATATATCTGTAATTCTACATTGAGCTGGTTAACAGTTGCTCATTGCCGTATTCAAGCAGCTAGCTCTTGTCGAGTCAAAGGTGAAACAATTTTGAGCGTGTTATGTTGGATTTGGTATTTTGCATAATTTGTTTTTTGGATATCAACATATATTGAAGGGACTTTTGTTGTATATTTGGTGACAGTATTATTGTTAAAGATTCAAATATATACCAACACTTACACACTGAATTTAAATGTTTAACCAAAATGCATATTTTCATCAAGAATTAGAGAAGCATAAATTATACCGTTTGTCTTGAAAATCAAATTGAAGATTGTCTTCCTGAAAGAAACCATTACAAAATTCTACCGTTAATCTTGGCAAAAGATGGAAGCGAAGCAGAAACAATTTTTGATAAAATTTTCAACAGTTTATCGAAAGTGGGCATTGACAAAACTCCAAAAGGCAGAAGTGAGGTTCTGCAATTTAAACAGCTTGATCATTCTGAACTTACAGTATCGCCTCGTCTTTTGTCGTCTCCAGGAGAAGATGATCTCAGTCTTTCATGACCTTTTGATATTTTCTCTCTTGAACTCTTCTTCTTCTTCTCCACCGATCTCGACCTCGAGTGTTGCTTATGTCTTGATCTCCTTTCATCGGGGGATGTCCTTATATCTCTCCTACGCTTACCCTCGGACGATACTGACCTCGACCTTCTTCTTCCACTATGACGCTTGGACTTTTTGTCCCTGCTCTGAGTCTCCTTACGATTACCTTCCACTGATTTTGACCTCCTTCTACGTGATCCTCCGTCTTCATCCACCTCATTTTTCCTAGAAGACCTGTGTTTTGTTTCCACTGATCTAGACCTAGACCTTCCCTTCCTCTCCTCCTTCATATTATAGTCATTGTCTTCAGCAACATCGATATCCTCATGAGAGCCATCGTTGATTTCCAATGATTTAGACCTGGACCTCCCTTTGTGTCTCCGTTTAGTATCATCAGAACTCTTGGATGCGTCTCTGGTTTTATTTCGTTCTTCACGAGATCTTGACCTTGACCGGTTCTTGTCATGTTTCACTTCCTCATCTCTAGCTTCATCCTCCTTATCCGCAGAATCTTCCACTGATCTGGATCTTGAACGTGTTCTGCGTTTGAGTTTGCTTCCTTCATCATCATCTCTTGCCGTTGATTTATGTTCCCGACGTCGCCTCGGTGATCGTGAACGACCACGAGATGATTTCTTATCTCCACGAGATGAGCTATCTCGTCGATGTCTTGACAGCTCTGAATCATCCTGCTGAGATTTTCTCTTTTTGGGGCTTACACTCCTACTTCTCCTTGAACTGGAAGAATGGTGTTCATCTGATCTACCGTATCTTCTACTTTCAGCTATATCCCTAGAATCTCTAAATGACCGCCTTCTCCCTTCATAAGTTGATCGCCGGTGATATCTTAACGGTGATCTTGATCTATGACTTCTTGGGCGACGAAATGGTGGTGAATAAGACGGAGATCTCCGCCTTCTCCTGTAACTAATTGGTGATTTCGACTTTGATCTCGACCTCGCAGGAGATTTAGATGGCGACCTGCACAAGAGAGGTAGCTTGTCAACGTCAATGTTATCAAAAGGAGAAAGGAGCAAGCCACAGGGTTATGAAATCCCCACCTAGGTTTCAGGTCAGCTTCTTTTTCGTCGTTTCCAACTCCATCAGGTCTCAGCTTCCTACTTATCTCAGCAGCTCTCGCTGCCGCGAGCTCGGTGGCAGACTTCATGGTGGCAGCTCTATTCGCCGCCTGCTGAGTAGCCATGGCTTGTTGCATCAGTATAGCCTGTTGGAACTGCATCTGCTGCATCGCGACGGCCTGTTGCATCATCATTGGTAATGAGGACGAAGAAGAGTTATCGGAAGATGGTTTCTGAGGAAGCGATTTCGCAATCTCAACAATCAAGGGCCTACCGCAGACTTCCATGTTGTTCAATTTCAGAGCAGCGGTTGCGTCCTCGGGCTTTGAGTACTCTATATAAGCAATGTTCTTTGAATCAGTTATACTACAGTCAACTACTGTGCCACAGAAGCTAAATAGCTGCCTGAGCTGTTCACTTGTAAGCTGTGGACTCAGGTTGCTAACTTGGAGAAACTTCTTCAAAGCCTCTCCCTCTACTCTGTTTTCCGAGGAACCTAAATCAGAAAGCTACTTCAACTCATGAGTATCATCATAGTGTATTACAGAGAGAGAGAGACCAGCAAATGAAAGGACACAATACCTATAGAGCCTTTGTTTGATCGAGCCTGTGCTTGCATCTGAGAAGCATGAGCTTGAAGAGCCTGTGCGGCGACAATGGCCTGAGCAGCAGCCATTGCTGCAGCGGAAGGTGCCATAGGGACCTGGCTTAGATTACCCATGCTCGTTGTTGCAGCTATAGCAGTCATCAGCAAATTCTGAGGAGGGTGATTCAACTTGCAGATAGTGCTTGCGCATCTACCATTAAGATACTCACGGCAGACTTCACCAAGTGAAGCTCCAACTCCAGGCAAGATCGCACCACCTGAAGGACCAGGTGCAATCCCTGGAACCATCCCCAACAGACCCGGGAAAGCACCGGAGACCGAACCGGTGTAGTTCGGCATGTTAGGCATCGTTTGATTGATAAGGCTCGAGTATGAAGATGGAGCAGAGCTAATCAGTCCAGTAGAAGAAGACCCTGTTTCAGATAATAAGACCTTACCATCAACAAACATTCGAATTCCCATAATCAAGTGAGATCGAAAAAACCTTACCTTGGCTAAAGAAGACAGGGAAAGGACTTCCCATAATCGAATTCCCATTGCATTCAATGTTCACCATATAGTTTCCTCTCTTAGGCACAACGTAGGTAACAGCGTAACTCCCATCTCCAACATCTTTCACCACTCCTTCTTGATCTGTACCACCAACGCCTACACCAGGAGACACTTTAACCCTAATCAAAGCTCCACCGTTGGGGACTTTTCTTCCATCGGAGTCCTTTGTTACAACCACGAATGTACAAGGCACACAGGCCGTTCCTCCGCCGATCCCAGCTCCAGAAGCCGTGGACTTGCTCGGATCCACAGGGCCGATTGGTTTCCTCGATAAGTAATCAGATTCATCATCCGAATCGCTGTCAGATTCCGGTGCGGATTCAGGTACCGAAGACGGAGCAGCTTCAATCAGAGGCGTAGTTTGATCGACGCCTTTGAATGTTGCTTCGAAAGCTGCTTTCGCGGCGGCGTCTTTCTCTCCGTCGTCCTTGATTTTCGCGTCTTCCGCGTGTTTCATCCAAAAGGGCTTAGCAGCACCAGAGCCACGATCAGAAGAAGCCATCAGAAACAAGTAGCAACGAACAGTAATGAACGCCGGCGAAGTAAATCGGCAGAGCTAAAATCCCAAATCGGGGATGATACAATCAACACTAGCAGAGGCCTAAGCTTCCATAACTGAAACAGGGAAGAGCAGGGATGAGAAATCGAAGGCAGATCCCGACGGTTCTCTAGGGTTTCTAGTAAATCGAGAAGAAGGAAAGAGGAAAAACTAAAAAGTCGAATCTTTATCTAAGCCGCAAGTGGAACAACTCTTTCTTCTTCTGGGAAGCGCAACAAAACGATAGCCCTCTGTTTGGAAGAGAGTATTTCAATTTTCAAGGTTCCAATTGTTTTTGCTTTATCCGCGACTATTTTGATATATTTGCACTGTGATCCTCATATCTCCAGTTCTTACATTTTATAGCACAAAGTTACAAAAGTTACATTTAATCCTCCATTTTGAACAAGCTTCGGTTGACGTAAATTGATTTATGAGTCCTACGATACGATCATAGCCCGACTTACCACTAAATTACACAAGAATATTTTTTCTTTTTGATTAAAGTTACACAAGAATATTTGAGGATCCAATTTAAAATCTCGATGAGTATAATTTTAATTGACTTCATTAATTTTTCCTTTTACCTTTCTTTTTTTATTTGAAAAATATGAAAAGTATCTAAGATAAAAAGAAAAAGTATCTAAGATAATATAATACTTTCCGTTTGGTTTTTCATTCGGGGATGTTATATATTTTTTTCTTCCCATACATAAAATAAAAGATTGTTTAGATCATGGAAAGTAACTTTTTTTTTTTTTTTGGAAAAACCACATTTTGGAAAATGGGAAACGAAAAAAATGAAAGTTAATGTATAAAAGAAATGTAAGGGAGAAACAAAAGAAAATGAATTATATGCAATTAAAGGTGGCGAGCATGTAATTGTGATTATGTGTATACATATGTTAAAATAATAATAATGTGCATTAGCAATTTCTGAGCTGTTGCGTTACCAATATCCGCTGGATTTCGCTGATTCTTAGTTCTCTCTTCTCTCTGAATTTAAATTTCCACCAAAACAAACAAAAACCCTATTTTTTTAGAAATAGTTTCAACAGAAGAACAAACTTAAAATCAGTTGTCGTTCATGGCGTCGTCTTCTTAATTTCATTTTTTCTCAATTCTGGGTTTTTTGGGAAGAGAACGTGGCCAAGTAAAAGAGGTACCTTTCAATTACGAATATTCTTATAAAAATAAAAAGGCACGTTCTTGCTCGCGATATTATTCCCCTTTTAATTCATCGTTTGTTTCTTTCCGCCGTAATCGTTTTTTTGTTTGTTTGCAATTTGCAATGTTATTCTGAAAATGGCGTTTGGATTCCGTGAACAGTTTGATGATTTGTGAAGCGATTGGGTTTTAGTCTTTTGGCGTGTTCTTCACTTGCTTGTCTATACTTTTAATTACTGGAGATATTTTTTATTTAATTCGATAATTAATAGTTAATGTTGGATTTAAAGGTAGCGTATATGAGAGGGTTTTGAGGTTTCATACGTTAAAATTTCTCGGCTTAATCAGAGGAACAAGTCTAACAAAAATTTCAAAACTTGAAGAACCGTAGATTCCCTCAAGCATCGATTTGATTCTATTTTTGGAGTAAATTTTCTTTTTTTTTTTGGTCTCTTCTTCTTCTTTGTTGTTTCCTTTTGAATTCGATTTTCCCTCTGGGTTTCTATATTTGTCTCTTCTGCCATTGTTTTAGGCACTGTGAGTTTTATAATTTCTTGTTTTTTTATAATTGATATAAGCTAATTATTAAAGTAATCAGTAATCATTTGAATTTGTGTGGTGATTAAAACTTTGCTCATTTGATCATGTTTAGTTTTGTGTCTTTTCTTGTCTCCAGATGCAAGAATCTCTTTGAACTTTGGAATCTTCTTCCCCAAAACTCTTCTTGGAGTTTTTTTAATCTTTCAGGCTGATTCATCTTACTTATATATATATACATATATAGCTAAGATGGATCAGATGTCACCTGATAACATCAATGGACTTATATTAGCAGTCTCTTCAAGCATTTTTATTGGATCAAGTTTCATCATCAAGAAGAAAGGTCTCAAGAAAGCAGGTGCAAGTGGAGTCAGAGCAGGTATTTTCCTATAATCATTGATCTCCTTTGACATCATATGGTTCTTGATTCAAGATCTTGCAAGATTAGTTTTAAACTGCTTCTTGTTTAATCAGGGGAAGGAGGACATGGATACTTATATGAACCATGGTGGTGGGCTGGAATGATTACAAGTAAGTCTTTATCAAAATGTTTAAAAAAAACTCAAGTTTCTGTTGAAATATAGACTAAACGGTTCTTTTTGATTCAGTGATTGTTGGGGAAGTAGCTAATTTTGCGGCTTATGCATTTGCACCGGCTATTCTAGTAACACCTTTGGGAGCTCTAAGTATTATCTTCAGGTATTCTTTATTGTTGTTTGTGAAACCTTCATATATCTCAAGAGATTATGGTTTTCTTGAAAACGAACACACACAACTGTTGTTTATGCAGTGCAGTGCTCGCACATTTCATTTTGAAAGAGAAGTTGCATATATTCGGTGTTCTTGGTTGCGTTCTCTGTGTTGTTGGGTCTACAACGATCGTCTTACACGCCCCACACGAGCAGAAAATCGAATCAGTCAAGCAAGTGTGGAAGCTCGCTATTGAACCAGGTGATTTATTCTTCCACAACACAAGTTCTTTTGTCCTGCATTTGATTCGAAGTTATGAGATTTTTGTTTTGTGTGTGTGTTTGATCAGGTTTTCTTGTGTACTCTGCTGTGATCTTGATTGTGGTTCTTGTACTGATCTTCTATTATGAACCGCGTTATGGGAAGACTCATTTGATAGTTTATGTTGGAATCTGCTCTTTAATGGGTTCTCTTACTGTAAGTTTTTCATCTTGGTCTCTTTCTCTTTCTCTCTGTGTGTGTTATGCATGTTTACTGTAAAATTTGTGTCTTGTGTTTCTTAGGTTATGAGTGTGAAAGCTGTGGCCATTGCTATAAAGCTGACATTTTCAGGGATGAATCAGTTCAAATACTTCCACGCTTGGATTTTCATTTTAGTAGTCACGTTTTGTTGCATTTTGCAAATCAACTACTTAAACAAGGTAATTAATCCAAAAAAAAATCCTTAATTCCCCTGATTATACCACCTTCATATTCATTTTCTTTTTGCTCATATGTTTTGAGTTTCTTCTTAGGCATTGGATACATTCAACACAGCGGTTATTTCTCCGGTTTACTACGTTATGTTCACAACATTCACCATCATAGCTAGTATGATCATGTTCAAGGTCATATTTCTCTTGATTCCCTTTTTCTTCTCTCTCAAGCAAACTCCATCGGCTTCTCAACGATTCCTCTATGTGTGTTTTACAGGATTGGGCTTCGCAGAGCGGTTTAAAGATTGCGACAGAGTTGTGCGGTTTTGTAACGATTTTGTCAGGAACGTTTCTGCTTCATAAGACTAAAGACATGGGAGACAGTGGAAGTGTAAGTGGTCGTGGTTCTGTCTCTTTGCCTCGAGACACCCCTGTCTTCTCCAATTCCGGATCCGGCCGGAGCTCCAGCCCGGAAAAAGTAGCCTCCTGAGATTTTTTTCACCGTTGAACGGTTTGATCTAACGGTCCAGATTCTTCTCTGTACGTAAACACGAGCGATACAAAAGCCTCAAAAGCACAAGGATGTGTTCGTTGGTTACTTGGTTATGGTATGGTGAGGATTTTGTTAGGAATATTTGATTGATTGCTTTTTAAATTTTGTTTCTCATATGAGAACATGTAATTTTACAACTAAAGAGAATTAAGGAGAAAATAATGATTTTTTACCGAACCATAACTTCTGAACTGAAAATTTTGTATAAATCTGATTGGAACAAATGATATCTTAATGGTCAAAGATCACTTGGAGAAACCAATGTCTTGACATAAACTTTGGCGTCGCGACAACTACTTAAGCTGTCTGAAACTGGATACTGAAAAGTTCCATTGGCACAGTTATAAAGAGCCAAACCGGATCTAAACTCCAACAAAACCACCAAACCGGTTGAGATCCATAGCGGTCTAACAAACTCAGTCAAACCGGGAATGGTCAAGAGTTTAGACCAAGATTCTCCAAACTCATTCATCACCCAAACATCAGCATTTGCACCTTTGCAATAACACACCATCGAAAGACATCCTCTCAAATCTCCAAGCGTCAATGTAAAACAACCTCTCTTGCAACAAACTGGTCCATGAAGCTCCCTGAACACATCTCGTGACATATAACATGATACGATGCTCGAAACTGATGATGATGGGTTAGTGACTGCCCAGTTAAGTGTTCCATTGATGTAGATTCCGGATCTTGATTTTTCAGCAACAACAACTCCACATGGGAAACAAGTGTTGCTGCTTCTTCTCCATAGCTTTTGTCTCGTTGAGTAGATCATTGCCTCTGTCTTCAATTGGTGTCTTTGTTGCAACAATGCAACTATCTTATAGTCATCTTCAGATTCATCATAACCAAACCCACACGTTACAACAACCTCATCGCTCGTTTCGAGATCCGAACCAGCCAATCTTTGTTGAATCTTGATGGTTGGGTTCCATAAGTAGAAGCTTTTGTTGTAATCTACATGGAAACAGATCAATCCATTGCAAGTCCCCACGACTTGATAGTAATCTCTGCCTAAAAGCTCACCATCATGCTCAAAAACGTTGACCGTTGAGTCATTGTAGAGAGAGTGGACGCAGCAAGACTTAAGATGGTACCTTGACGTTGTGATGACTCCGTATGGACTCTTCTTAAGAGTGGTTGCCTTCGACGCCTCCAAGATCAAAGCGTGTTTCAGAGTAAACAGATTCTCTGAGATCAAAGATCTCCATGAGATGCAAACGCATTTGAATCGCGTCAATGACTTTACAGGTAGTCTTAAGAGAATCTCTTCCATCATATCAAGAGGAAGATTAGGTGGAGAGAAGAAGCACTCTGTGATGGTTTCCTCCATGACTCTGAGCAGAGGCTGCTTCTTGGCTTCAACCAATAGCCTTGCGGCGTATTAAATAGAAAAGAATGTACAAGTGGGAGTGGAAAAAGAGGAGATGCATGTATGCTGATAATGTAAAATATGAATTATAATGGAGATATTATATACATTATGATATGATAAGATAAATGTGGTAAAGATGTTGACATTCGAAGGCAACTTGAGGGCATAAGCAACTTGATGGTAGGACCAGAACAAGTTATTGGACAACAAAGTTTTGCTTTTTTTTAGATGTCTAATCTATTATAATATTTGTTCTTACAACAAAGAGTTGCAGACGACAAGCTAATACAAGAAGGTTATGGAGATCTAAACTGGAGACAAACGGCACAAACTTTTCAAGAAACGCTAAGTTATGGAGTCGAGGAGGTTCTTGGTACTCACTTTTGGGAGATCTCATTGGAATGGAGCTCCTCACGAGTTTGCTGTACAAGTATTTTCTCGATAGCATCCATGAAGCCTGATAAGTTTTGTCGGGTCTGTAAATCCAAGGAATTCGCTAGTTCCTGACAAAATATTAGAAGATCAAGAGATAAATCGTTGAGCTAAGCAAACCCAGAAAACATGCTCCAAATGTTGTAAACTGTATTTGCTCTAGACCAATGGCTTAATCATGTGATTATATCTTAAATGTTCGGTTTGAGAGATTAGATGCGACTGACATCGATGACCAGAGAGAGGAAACTAACATACTATCAATTTTTTTTAGTAAACAAAAGATTTTATCATGGTGGAATTATAAAAACGAGAAGTAATGAATTCGAAGATAAAAGGGCTTACTTCAACTTTGCAGATTAGGCTCAGCGAAATTCCATTAGACTGATTGTCAGAGTTCTTAAGAGATGCAAGCTTCAATGGAGTACTCAGCAGCGGCCAACCAGCAGAGACTTTTAAAAATGCATCAATACCTCCGGCTATATGAGCCACAATCGTTTCATCTTTGTCATAGTATTCGAACGTGTGCCTATCATAGGATCATAAGATCACGCAGTGCATTAGCTTTCTCACACAACTCAAAAGACATGAGTTCCCTATGAAAAATATTCAGCTCTCAAGCTACGGGAAAGGAAAGGCTCACCTGATTGTTTTCGAACTTTCCACAACATACTTTCTTAAAGTGGTCGAGATAATTCTTTCTTGCACCTTGGCGACAAGCCACTGGAGTGGAGATCTTGTGTCTAGCAATGCAGAGTGTAACCTTATCTGCCTGCGGTTTTAAGATATGTTATGGCACAATCTTTAAGACTAACAAAAATATATACATAGCTTTGGTAATTGAAGCTGATGTGACTCAGCATTAAAGGGTACCATTTTGTGGCTTATACATTAAGTCAAATAATTGAAAAGTGAATATCAGGTCTTGAGGTAGTTGGATACAGATACATATCTTACGGCTTCTTAGGTTTATGTTAGCCAGAAGAAATTTAAAAAATTTCAGATGCAGCAAAAGGGGCTATAGAGCCAAAAGGGCTACCGAATCACAAGACCTAGATGATAGGGAACAATTATCCAGGCTTTTCTTGCCATGTGGTTGCATGAGCTACTTTAGGCTAAAAAGATAGATACATACAACTGGGAACACTAAAGGCAGAATTTAACAAAGGCTTTTGGTAGCAAGAATGAATAGAAAGACACCATTTTATCGTCTATGATATCTCACAAGTTTGATAATGTGAGTAGCCATACAATTCCATATTGAATAAGTAATAAAAATTACTGGATAAAACAAAGAGGCAAGAGCACAAACCTGAAACAATCAGCAGCGTCGATGATATCTCCTATGTGTACATCATTTGGAAGAATCTGCGGGATAAAAATAGATGTCAATATTATTTCATGAAAGGAACTGAAGCAACAAACAGATACATTTTTTTCTAGATTCATGCAAAACTAAAAGATAAACAAGTCAGCAGTGAAACTTGTAGGCGCGCTTTTACCTCAAGTTTTGTTATCTCTGTAGTTTTCTCCTTAAGATGAATAAGCAATTCATGGATAAGTTCAGATGGCTCAGTAGTGTGTACAAGTATGTGCTGTCCAAAAAATCCATCTAGCTTTGGAATACATGTTCGAAGTTGGAGCCTAATGAAGTTTCCATCAAACTCGAGCACCTTCAAGCCTGTCAAGGCGCCCTCAACCTGTTCTGCAGCATCAAACCTGAAGGTAGAAAAGTGAAGAACCAAAATAAAGATAGGGTAAGGACGTAAATCTGAAATCAAGTTCTAATTACCTTTTACATACAGAATCCAGATCTTCCAATGACTTGAGAACCGTCCTTTTCTCCTCAATCTGATTCTCAAGTTCAAACATCTGACAAACATTTGAAGAAGGGTGTATAGAAACTAGCATGGGAGTTTTGCAGTCTTTTTCTATTACAACCGAAAATGAATAAGTCTCTGCTCAATATTAAATAGCTAGAAGACAAGCAATAGCATGCAGTGTAATAGATGTCGATTTGATGTTAAATCTTAACCACTACAGTAAATGATCTATTGCCTTTGCGTGCCCGGGAACAGTAGATTAGTACTTTCTGCTACATTATGCCTAATCAATCAGGCCAAGCAAGAGTTGCAACAACTGGAAGATTATATGTTAAAAGATGATATATTGTTGAGATAATTATATGGCCACACACACACAAACTTCTTCTCCTAGAAACAAAACTTAAAAACCTCGCACCTTAAATTTCTCATCATTCACATCAATCCAAGTTGACGCATCACATATTTCCATTGAGCTGCTAGATGGTGGATTCTCTTTTGATTTCTCCACTTCCTAAAATGAGAATCACATAACCCTCAAAATACAGGGGAATTACAAGAATATCATGCATTCAACTCAGTAAACATATTGGTCAGAGTACTGAGCAAATGGCAATGAGCAGCAAGTAACCTGAGATGACAGAAAATCCAGTGACAAAAGAAGACCTTCGAGATCCGAATCCAGCCTACTAGAATCTTCACAAATTCAGAAAAGAAAACTATAATAAGACTTGGAAAACTATTATCTTCAAGATCCGATTCCAGCCATACTCAATATTATGAATCAGCACAAGAAAACTAGTATTAAACCTTGGGCATGAGACTTAGAAAGACGTTCGATTTCTTCAGAAACCTTGGCACTTTCAGCCTCCACAGAATGAAGCTCCTTTCTCAAGTACTCCAAGTAAGCATCTGTGAAATTCAAGATCTTTTGCATCAGTTAATGTCATTATTGGCTCAAAGAAAATCTTTTTTTTTCATTCATCTATTTTTATTCCATAGAGTCTGAAATTTCCCAGGAAGCAGTTAGTGGTGGCCAAACACTCAAAAGAAAGATTTAGAAAGGGTTCAAAGCAATAGCAACAAGTATACCTGAGTCTTCGACATCCAATAAATCAACATCACAGTAATCTTCAACAATCTCTTTCACCTTTGTCTACGCAAATTCCATAACATAGAGAGAGAAAAACCCGAAACATAAATTAGCCTATCTATCGAAATCATGTATATACAATACAAATTCACTGCGCAACGAAAACGAGGGCAAAAAGTAATCAAATGTGAAGACGGAAAAGAGTTGTGAAACTCGCAATTACCTCAAGCTGAAGAGCAAAATCATGGACCAGAGTCTCGGAATCAGATGAAGGACACGATTCCCCAGATTCGTCTCTGCGATTCCGGTGAGAGAACTCGAGCTCTTTCACGCGGCTGGACAAAATTTGCGGCAAATAAATGAACAAGCAGCACTAAATCGAGGAATGCAAAGACGAGAGAGAGAAATAGAAAACCTGCGAATCTCTTCGAGATCGGGAGATTCTTTGTGGGTACCTTCCATGGCGATAAGCTTCTGCTTGAGGATGAATTCTCGCGCTACAGTTAGAAGTGAGACTAAACTTGAAGTTGAAACTAGAGCAGACGATTTCAATTTTCAAATGGGAAAGGCGAAAGAGAAACGAAAGTAACCTTGACAAATCGCCACTATGTTATACTTCTCTTAGCATTTAACCCACTTGATTATTTTTTTTGAGCAAATCAGTCCCATACAATTTTCAAATGGCGAAATAGAAACAAAAGTGACCTGGAAAAATCGCCACTAGGTTTTAGATATCTTACATTAAACCCCCAAATTATTTTTTTGAGTCAATGAGACCCATAAAAATTTCAAATAGCTTTGTTTGCTAATCCTTGGAGTTGGGAGGTGTGTGATCTGAGATCACGATTCACGACACAAACAATTTCTCGAAGCCGTTTTGAGTCGTCGTAGTCATCATCATCATCATCATGATCCATCACCATGTGGAGAAGAATTGTATCCTCTCATCTAAAAACTCCAGCTTCTAGATTTGAAGATGATGTTTTTGTGTTTGAAGCATCTAATTTTATTTGAATTCTGCATCTGCTTATGGTCATTTTTCTTTTTGCTGATGCTGTTTAGCTTTGGATTTTGTGTAGGGTGTGAAGGAGAACCCTGTTATGATCTTACATGAAAGGAGTCCCTGAATCTCCTCAGTGTGCGTTTAGCTCACTAGCAATAAGCGTTTTGCAACTATGAACTATATAGTAAGTATTTTTTGATGTACTTGTAAGATTGAAATTTGAAGAAGCCATCTTCTTTGTTTAAAGCTCCAAATCTAATGTTGCTGTGAATTGTCGTTTTCAGATGTTCCTTCAGGTGCGTTTATGTTTTCTTAGAGAGAGCTTTATAGTCTCATTCTCAGTGTTTTTTATTCTCAGCATAAGCAAACTTGGCTCTGCTCTTGTATCCAGCAAGATGGGAAATTATATGATATATGCTCTTCTTCGAGTAAGCATTGATTTGATTCGTGAAACCTTCTTATGTCTAGCGCCTTGGCCTACGTTTCCACAATATACGTTGTTTTGTTGCATGAATTTGATATCGAAGATTATAAATAATTCGGTGTTTGTTATGCCTAAAACCAATAAAGGCAGAAATAAGACAATAAATAAAAAAGAAAACAAAAGTATATAGAGACCGAAAAAAGACACTCACAAAGCAACTTGAAAGAAACAATCGACAACAGGAAGAGCAACAAAAATAAATCCATCGATGCCGATGCCTAAACCGCTAGAGTCTTGGCACTCTATAACTCGCAACCCGTTCACACCCTCACTTGACACCGCTAAAGCTACATGTCCCATCTGTTTAAAGAGATCAAATTCTTTTTTTTTGTAACTGGATAACTTTTTTTTTTTTAAAGAACATTCTCCAGGTTCACTTCTTATCAGTGTGGTCACTTGGTTGGTGATCAAAAACATTTTAGTTTCTGAGAAAATTAAAATGACAAACAATTAAAACCTGACCATATGTTTTTCTTTTCTAGCTGCAATATAAAAAAAAAATTCTGCTGCTACAACACATGCTCAAAGATATCCTGACCATATTCTCAAAGATATCTCTCGTCTTTTTGGTGCAAACCTTATGATCTCAACATCTCTCGTCTTGTTGGGAGAAGTTTCTACTGCTACAACACATGAGACCAAACGCTCAAACTGATCTTATGCGTCCTCTTGGATCCCACCAAACTTGAGATTGAGAACGTCCAAATTGTGGTGATGTGAAAATGTCATATCCACTGTGATATTGATCTGCACCTATCTCTCAAACCAAGCCAGTTTTATTGTCATACAATAGCCAACGCAGAAAATTGTGCTCTCACCAAGGCCTGCTGACGAAGACTAAATAGTCTTTGGTAATATATTTCAGCTTCGGGTTGATAAATGTCTTATGCCTCTTCAGATGGGAAAGATGATCTCTTGGGCTTGCAATGCTCCCCTTCATGGGTAGGAGTCCATGTACTTAGACAGATCCAGCAGAACTGGTGTTGTACACATCCACGGCTTGCAAATCCAAGAAGTTCTAAGAAAGCTAAAGTCTTATCAAAATGAACAAAACTTGAACCATAGTTGGATAATTGTTAGATTTCATTTAGTTAAGAACTATAGTTATAGTTGGACGAATATACTTGACATAAATTGTTTTCTCCTAGAGTAGTTTTTCACATACTTTCGGTAAATTTCAAGTTCTTTTCCTCTGATTCGTTCATGTACATGCATGTAAGTAAACCTATGGGAAAAAAAGTTAGAATAATTAACTAAGAAAGAAAAATTACAATTGATAAAATACACATACCACGTTAACAAAACTAACGGATTTATCCAAAACAAGACCAAAACTAACGCTACATAGTATCTAAGCCAAAAGCAAACAATGATCTTTGGGATAAGTTGAAGTATCTCGTTCAAAACTGTTTGGAGAAAGAACATCTTGTAAAAAAATGTATCTAAGCTACTCTCACTCAAAAGCAAACAATAACTTTGAAGATGAATATGATAAACCAAAAGGTATCTTGTTCAAAATTGTTTGGAAGAAAAACACCATGAAAAAAAAATTGTATCTAAGTCACGCTCAGTTAAAAGCAAACAATGACTTTGGGGATAAATACGATAAACAAAACTATCTTGTTCAAAACTGTTTAAAGAAAAAACACTGAAAAAAATTGTATCTAAACCACACTCAATCAAAAACAATCAATGACCTTAGAAATAAATATGATAAACCAAAATATCTCGTTTAAAATTGTTTGGAAAAAAGCACTATAAAAAGGAAAAAAATGTTTTTCAATTAATATAAATTATCTGATGGCCAAAAAGATATAATGCTTTTGTGAAGTGTGAATAAATGATAGAGGAAACTGAGTTTTTAACATGATAAACCAAACTCTATCCCAATTTAATTATCATTTGGTTTTAATGTCTTAGACTTTTGTTAACACTTTTTGGTTGCTTGTATTTATTTAGTTTTTGCTCTTTTTTGTTTTTTCCAACTCTCTTTGTATCTTTCTCGTTTCAAAATTTAAAACAACTAAAGTAATTTTTTTTTATAAATTAATAATATTATGACTATGCAATTTTATAAAATTCTATTATTTTATAAATATATTATTTGATTGATAAATTAATTTTGAAACTGATAAAAATATTAATTTATTGAATATTAATTTATAGAAATTTTAATGTATAAAGAACTTATTATTAAAAAAAAATTGTTTGAACCCCCCCATCCCCCCCAAAAAGAAGTAACCTTGAAAGATCGCCACATGGTTATACTTTCTTAACATTAAACCCCTTAATTATTTTTTGTGTCAGTTAGACGGACCCATAGGATTAGGGTTTTTGCAAATTCCGATTCATATTATCACCAATCGGCGCTCTTGCCAGCGTTCAGTTCATGTATTGAACCGCATAATACTACAATTTTATGGTTAGTTTATTCAGTTGATTAGGAAGATATTGTAGATTTAGTATGTCCATAACGGTTAATTCTACCTTGTGATGATTCACGACTAACAGCTCTATAATGGTTAATTTTACCATCTTATGAAAATTCACGACTAACAGCTCTGTCTGCATCCTACACCATGCTTATCATCATCATATGAAGATCTACGCCTGACGATTCTGCTTGCTCCACGTTGAAGATCTCTTGTACGTCTGCCTCCACTAATTTGCATTATTTTTTATTAATCCACATAATTAAGAATAAATCATGCTCTTTGGAATTTGAAACTCAGACCTTTTAGCGTAGAAGCATTAATAAACCCGTAATCATTGGTCCAAAGGGACTTCCACCATATGTATATGTCTAACGCCAGTATAAATGCGTAAGGGGTAACATGTACATATACATATATTATCTTTCTTTTATTTATTATTATTAAAATACTTTATATGGTATTGTGAAATTTTATCCATTATGATTCATTTGATATTTCAAAATTTTATCCTTTGTGATTTATTACTGAATATTGTATTTACCTAAAGTGTTCTGGTATTTAATAATTAAGTAATTCCAAAAACAATTATATGCAAAAATTTGTAACGTAGAATTACCATACAAAAAAAAAATCTTAGATGTTAATAATATGGCATTGCACAATGATAAGCTCATTGAAGAGGAAGATCAACAAAAATCATGTAAAAATGATTTTGATGCGAGTCTTAAGAAAAATAACTTCTTTAGAAAACAGAGAGATTATATACAAAAGATGACTGTGAAGAGAAAGAGAAAAAGAAAACTTTGTTTGCTCGAAGAGAGTTAACATATTCAAAGAATTCGAATTGCATACCCAAATTTTTAACGTAGTGAAATTTTTTTTTTGATAAAGTGTTGAACTACAAAAAAATAGGATTAGTGTTGCTTAGGACCCGCAACAGATTTTGTGTTTTGAATATATTAGTTAAAAATAAATAAAAATGAAAATAAATAACTTTTAAATTTTGTTTCCGTGTTTTTAATATATATTTTCATCAGTGATTCGGTTTTATTTTCTATTTAAAAAAAAATTAGTAGATTTAAAATTTTGTTAGTAGATTTAAAATTTTACTATTATAAATCCGCGTATACGCAGATGCTAACATAGTATATATATGTATGTATAAGTTTGTTTATTTTTCATAGATACGAACATACATATAAAGATGTACGTACAACAGAAAAAGAATATACATCCAAATTCGGCCACAAATATGAAAAATATATAAAAGTTATTGTGGCTAATTACTCTTTGCCTCCTCATACTAATTTAGAATAAATCAATTTATATTAGTTTTGTGTAAAAAATATGATTATCCTAAATAACAAAATAGTATATTCTTGAATAGTTTGCTTAAAAAAAGTAATCAATTTTAATAAATTTTAAAATATATGTAATATATTTAAGGTGTATATCTTGATTTAGATTAAACCAAAAAATATAATTTATATTTTATTTATAAAGATAAAACTGTATATATATTTATATGATTATAAAAAAA